ATCAGTGGGGATCAGAGAGCAGGAGTTCTAGTTCTGACTGTCCCTGCACAGTTCTTTCCAGGTAGACACTCTCCAATTCTTCTTCTTAGTGTAAGGTCAGTTACACCACTTCCTCTCTCTGTGTCTGCACCCTCATTTATCAAATGAAGGGTTATACTCACTCATTAGTTAGACCCTCTCTAGCTCTAAAATTTCCTTGAAATCCTGAGAAAGGGTACATTCTTGCTGGTTTGACTTATGCAGTTTGTTATTCCTGCAGAGACACGAGTTCTACAGTGATTCTGAATGTTGAAGCTTTAGCCCCCAGTGTGATATTTGAGGATGGGGCCTCTAGGTAGTAATTAAAGTTAGATGGGATCATGTGGGTGAGGCCCTTATGACGGGATTAGTGCCCTTATAATAAGAGACATTAAAGAACTTGCTCTCTGTCTTCACTCGCATGCCATGTGAGGAAAGGTCATGTGAGGACACAGAAGGCGATCATCTGCAAGCCAAGGGGTTGGCCCTCACCAGAAACTGAATCAGACAGCACTTCGATCTTCAGCTTCCCAGTCTTTACAGCTGTGAAAAATAAATTTCTGTTATTTAAGCCACCCCATCTGGTATTTAGTTATAGCAGCCCAAGCAGACTAAGACAGCAAGCATTCTCTAGGATCATCGTGGTGCCTTAGCCTTGGCTATCTTTACATTGGAAAAAGACCTACCCCAGGAGTCAGTGCATTATGGAATGTACCATCAAATAAGGCAAAGCAGAGGCTTCTAAAGCCTCATTCAAACGAAGATAACCAACATTGTCACACAATTTCATGCATTGTTAGTTTTATAGGAGCAGAAATTGCCTGAACTAGGCTGTAAAGTAAAGTTCTTTAAATAAGTACTCAGTAGATAGCTATGGGAAATGAATGACCACTTCCAGTCTTCTTTGGAAGCAGGCGAGGTAGGAATTATAAAAGTGTATTAGTAAAATTAAACAAGAAAATGGATATTTCCAGCAACAAAACCAATTCCCAGAGCTTGTCATTTTCAGCACTATAATGATTTCCATGGTACAGCTTTTAGCTCCAGTGGAAACAACAATGCAAGTGTCATTCTGAACATCACATATCTTAAGTGGTATCTTCTCCATTCTTATTCTTTCAGGATGAATTCAAATATCATCTCTTCTGTGACTTTTCTAAATGTCATTCGAAAAATGACATTTGTATATTTTTACATTCCACGGTATCAGTACAGAACTTATTAATCTTTCCTCAGGGTTTCCATTACAACTTGGTTTTACTTTTATATAGCACTTATCATGTCATATTATAGGAAGCTGAGTATGAGCTCTCTGAGGGAAAAGCTCAATAAATGCTTGAATGAATGAACGAGTGAATTGGTTCTCCTTTGTAGATGACTGATTTCTCATTTATCTCAGGCTTGGCAAGACTCTTTGACTCGACTAACAGACTGAGGCTCTCTCTACCTCCATCTGCCTATCTATTATATGATGCTATGCATGGTAAATGGTGTCTTTTTTTTTTTTTTTTTGCCCTTAGAATCTTCAATCAGCCATGACAGCTGCCAGGATGCGAAGCCAGTAAGCTCCAAAGGTCATAGACAAGATCCCATGTTTTAATAATATTTGTTCCAACTGTTGTTTTGTCCATATTTCAAAGATTTCTTGATCTGGATTCATTCTAAAACTGTTGACAGTTCACAGCTGCCAAAAGACCACTATAACAGCATGGAATAGCATGTGGCCTAAGTTGGGAGGTCTGTCCTCTTCTTTACCAGGAAATTAACTCTCCTAAGCTTATGGCCTTAATGAACTCCTTTTAAATAAAATAAAGCCAATTATTTTGATGATAACCCAAATGTTAAATTCAGAATAAACTCTGTAGCACAGCCTTCCATCAGCTCCTGAGTCAGCTGAGTGGCAAATGATGATGTAAACAGATTTTACCCTAGTACCTGAATGTTTCCCTTTTGATTTTTTCTCCCTTCTTCTGACTGGCATCTAGGCAGTGTTCTATTCCTTTTGAATATTGATTATGATTGGCCTTTACCTATTTGACACCTTCAAGGAAATATCCTCAGGGTACATAGAGTTAAATAGTTGAAGACCTAACTAGACATCAGTCATAGGCATATGTCATGTTGGAATTAAAATGAGTAAAGCTGATCTTTAAGCAAGAATCTTGCCCTCAAATAGTACCAGGTAGGCAGCCCTCCCTGAGGAAGCCATGATGGATGTGGCCATAACTAAAGTGACATGTGGAAAAGAGTGGAGAGATGTTGGAGTATTCATGAATAAGGTTCTTGGGTTAATTCATTTTTCTACTCTTCCTTCATTTCTCCCACAGGTCCTTATTAAGCACTTACTATGACCTAATGCTGTCCTAGGCTCAGGAGAAACAGCCATGAGTAAGACCAGGTCACTGTGCCCTCATTGAGCTTCTATTCTAGTAGAAGAGAGAGACAATACATAAGTGAATAAATAAATACATAATTTCAGGAAAACCCTTCTCTTATTGTGAAAACAAAAATGAGCAAAAGGTATGGCATTTCCTCAAAAAATTAAGCAAAAAATTACCATATGATTCATTAATTCCACTTCTGGGAATATGCCCCAAAGAACTGACAGCAAGGACTCAAACAGATATTTGTTCATCCACATTCATGGCTGCAATATTCACAGTAACCCAAAGATGGAAACAGCCCAAGTGTCCATCAGTGTATGAATGGATAAGCAAAATGTGACATATACATACAGTGGAATATTATTCAGCCTTAAAAGGGAAGTTTTAAGTCATTATGCTAAGTGAAATAAGCTAGTCATAAAAGGACAAATATTCTATGTGAAGTACTTAGAGCAGTCCAATTCATACAGACAATAGAGTGTAGAATGGTTGGTTGTTTTTATGCCATTCCAATGTGGAAAGGGAGTTGTTTAATAGGCACAGAGTTTGAGTTTGGGAAAATGAAAAAGTTCTGCAGATGAATAATGATGGTTGCACAATATGCATATAGTTCCTGCCATTGAACTGTACACTTAAAATTCATTGTAATAGTAAAGTGTTATGCATACTTTACCACAATAAAAAATTTTTTAAAACATTTAAATGGACAATGGGCTAGAGGAGAAAAGAATTAGTTAGACTTGTCTGGGATGATTCCTTTGAGGAAGAGGTGACATTTGATTAGAGACCAATCAAATTGATGATGAGAACATGAAATTACATAGGGAAGCAATTCTGGATTTTGTTCTAAGTACAACAGAACACCTTTGGAGGGTTTTGATCAGTGAAAGGACATGAGCTGATTTACTGCTATAAAAGATCATGCTGGCTGCTCAGTGGAAAGCACGCTAAAAGGGAGGAAACCTGGGGGCTAGAAGACCAGTTAAGAGACTGTTGCAGTTGTGTTAGGCTATTCTTCGCATTGCTGTAAAGGAATACCTGAGGTCGGTTAATTTACAAAGAAAAGAGGTTTGATTGGCTCATGGTTCTGCAGCACTTGCTGTACAAGCATAGCAACAAGTCTACTCAGCTTCTGGTGATGCCCTCAGGGAGCTTTACTTATGGTGGAAGGGGAAGTGGGAGCAGGCACATCTCATGGTGAGAGTGGGAGCAAGGGAGTGTAGGTGGGAGGTGCCACATGCTTTTAAACAGCCAGATCCTGATAGAACTCACTCACTACCATGAGGACAGCACCAAACCATGAGGGATCAGCCCCCATGACAAAAAAAAAAAAAAAACCCCGCCAGGCCCCACCTCCAACACTGATGATCTCAACCTGAGATTTGGAGGGCACATCCAGACTAATCAGCAGTCATCTAGGCTAGTGACTATAATGGCTCAGGGGATGGGAAATAATAGGAGAGATAGTGAAAAGTGGTTGAATTAGGATTGTATTTGCAAGGTAGACTCATCCTGATTCACTAATGGAATTGATGTGGGATGTGAGGGAAAGACATGCCTGAAGGGTGACATCTTGGTTTTTAACTGAGCAACCTAGTGAATGGGGTTCCCATCTACTGAGATGCAAATGACTGGGGGAAATACTAGTCAGGGAATGACAAGGGGGTGTGGGGAGGCAATCAAGAGATGTGTTACCTAAAAGTGAAACCATAAACCCCATGTCCAGGAAAGTACTGGCACATAAAAGCCCTTTATTAAATAATCATTGAATGAGTCAGTGAATGAAACCAAATGCGTAAGCGTGGGGAAGGAGAAAGGAAGAATGGAAACTAGCTCTAAATTTTACTACATATGAAGGAGTGCATTTGGCAAATGATATGATGGTAAGGACCCTGGGCTAGAATTTCAGACAACTGGGTTCTCAGAAAATATTTCCAAAGCTCAGATTTCTCTTTCTAGCTTTTATTCTGGGACCTCTCCCTTTTTCTTTCTCTGCAGGAAATGTGTTCACATATTTATTCATCCCAGCCAGCAGGTCCATATCCCTTACATCCCTGTGCGTAAGTGCAGAATGGGTAGCCCCCAAGACATGGAACAGCTAATCAGTGAGCTCCTCAGCTGTGGGATGGAACGAGACTGAAGCCCCCTCCTGCCAGCGACCACACTCATCACCAACCACTCCTTCCCCACTCCCAGTGTCCACACTCCCAGCGTTCCTACTGGAGCTGTGGAGTTGGCTGCTCGACAGACCAGACAAATTCCCATAAATCAATTCCCCAGAGGGTCTTACTCTCTAAGGACATGATTTTAAGCAAGTTGGGGACAAGATTAGTTCATACCATGCATTGGCTAGTCTTGAATTGACAGTCCTACTAATTGTTCTTATGGAGTTTGGGGCAGGTTCCTACTGAGACTTGCAGAGCAATTGGTGGGAAGAAAATCCGTTAAAAGTTGCCTTCACAACTGCGGCGGGCACAATGCAAAATGAGAAATACCTGTGAAAATACTGCAAAACAGCTGTGGAGTAAGAGCGTTGCCTCTATTTCACATATTACCGTGTTTCATGTATTAACCACTTTTGTACTGGCTCTTCCACAGGATGGAGGGTACAGAGTCTGCCGACATCAGCTCCTTTGCCCGTTTCTCTTCCGGCAAACACTATGCCACCGATCACCATCTGGACTAGCTCTCCACAAAACACTGATGCAGACACTGCCTCCCCATCCAATGGCACTCACAGCAACTCAGTGCTCCCAGTTACAACATCAGCCCCAACATCTCTGCTTCCTAAGAACATTTCCACAGAGTCCAGAGAAGAGGAGATCACCAGCCCAGGTTCGAATTGGGAAGGCACAAACACAGACCCCTCACCTCCTGGGTTCTCGTCAACAAGCGGTGGAGTCCACTTAACAACCACTTCGGAGGAACACAGCTCGGGCACTCCTGAAGCAGGCGTGGCAGCTACAGTGTCGCATTCCGCTGCTGAGCCTCCCACACTCATCTCCCCTCAAGCTCCAGCCTCATCACCCTCATCCCTATCAACCTCACCACCTGAGGTTTTTTCTGCCTCCATTACTACCAACCACAGCTCCACTGTGACCAGCACCCAACCTACTGGAGCTCCAACTGCATCAGAGTCACCGACAGAGGAGTCCAACTCTGATCACACACCCACCTCACATGCCACAGCTGAGCCAGTGCCCCAGGAGAAAACATCCCCAACAACTGTGTCAGGCAAAGTGATGTGTGAGCTTATAGACATGGAGACCACCACCACCTTTCCCAGGGTGATCATGCAGGAAGTAGAACATGCATTAAGTTCAGGTGAGTCTCTGTCTAGTCCACTAGTTTTCTTTACTACATCCACACGTTAAGAATGCAGTTCAGTGAACCAAATACAATGGAAAATTTGAATTTTGCAGTGTAACATCTAAGTTGAATTATAATTCACAAGAATTTCCACAAGAGTGCAAACTTTTAGTCACTTAACAATTTTCATGATTCACTGTGGCCAATTGCACCTTTATGGCCTGTTTTCACAAGTCATAATGATGCTACAGGGAATGTAAGCACATAAGACCAGATAGCAAAGGGATTAACAGTATGGCTTTGGCCAAGCTTCCTAGGTTTCAACTCTGGCTCCTGACCTTAGGCAAGTTACTTCACCTCTTTGTGCCTTTATTTTTCCACATCTGTAAAATGGGATAAAACAGGTTCTACTGCATATAGTTCTTGTGGAGATTAACTGAAATGACATAAAGCACTTAGAACAGTTCCTGGCAGGGAGTAAATGCTCAGGAAAAGTCATTTGTATTATTCTGCTCAGCGTTTTAAAGTAGTGTCTCCCTTTTGGAAACCAGTCAAAGTAGAGTAGGAGTGGAGAAAACTTACTTATTCTTTATAGTCACTGATGTATTTCAAGGGAAAGACAATAAATTTTACAAGATGTCACATCTGCTTTTATTTTCCCAGTAATTCTATGAAGTTAGTATTATTTTTATCTTTGTTTTGTAATCTTGGAAATTATGGTGGAGAGAAATCGAGGGCTCTTTCTGAGGTCACCCGCATCTGACATTGATGTGAAGACTATACAATTTAGCGTGTTGGGCAGGAAGAGGCTTTCATGGGAGCATTTGGCCACTTAGCTGAGAAAGAGGGAGATGAGCTCATTTTAGATGAGCCAGAAGTTAGCAGGGGAAATGGAGCTGCAGCCCCTCCACTGGGTGGTCCTGTGAGAGATGTGGACTGAGAAGGTCATTTCCAGACAGCACCCTGCATGGTCAGTTGGGGTCAAAGGAATGGCCATCACTGAGGAGAGAATCACAACTTTTAACAAACAATTGATGTACATCCGTCATGAATGGAAACTGTGCTTGACAGCAGAGGTAGGAAGAGACAGAACTAAGATTAACTAAGATGTGATTCCTCATGGAAGAGCTCACAATTTAGTAAGGGAAGAAGTCCCAAAGAATTGCACATTTTTATATCAAAGGTCCAGTATATCATTGAGGATCTCGACAAGAAAAAGAGAGACACTCAGACTGGGATAAAGGAACTAATGACAAAGGTCTGACTGGGGAATGGGAGAACCACAGGGGTCGTGATAACAGGGCTGTTACAGGCCAGACCTAGGAGGAAAGGAGAGAGTAGTAACCAGAACCCAGAAGGAGAGGCCCAGTAGAGTTGACCACGCCAGCAGGAGCAGTGACTCTTGGCTGACGGACACAATGATCTCAAGGTTAACCTCCCTGGAGTGAAGGGAATGACTACTGTGCCCTCCCTCTCCCAGCTCCTCTGATACGCAGCCAGAAGCCAACAAGGAGACGTACTGGTGTGGTTCATGCAGGTTGACCTCCTAGAGGGCTGGTCAGAGAACCACACAGAGAAGGGTGGAGAGTGGATCTGCAGAGGTGAAGGAGGGAAATCTGTTGACTCCTCTGTGCAGCCCATCACCCCATTAGCACCCTTTTTATATCTCCGGGCCAGCACTTAAAACATTGAGCTTGAATATATATCTTCAGTCTGTCTCTGTCCCAACCCCTGCACCCCAGGCTCCCAGCATGAAGATAACATCTCTGACACTGGTACCTGGAGCAGAGTGGGTGTTAACCTTGATGCGATATCTTAAGAACCATCTTAAACAAAGGGAGCATCAAAATACAGTGACCCCATCTCTTTTCTTTCCTAGTTCAGGCGCTCACCACCACTTGTCTGTACAACTTTTTCAGTTTTTAACCGGCCACCCTCTCTTCACTTTCTGTCCCCTTCAGGATACCTTAGACATAGCAGGTTGATATTCCTGAGCACAAAATCTAAGCTTAGCATACATGAATCTCTAAACTGACACATCTACTCCTTCCTACAAGTACCCTAGTTTTATGGGCTGGATTATTCAAGACAGTTCTGTTCTAATATCTTGGCTTGATTTTAGGCTCTATATCTTGATTTCCTCAACTCTAGGCCAGGAGGGTCAAGAGGCCCCAAATTGGTGGCAGTTGGCTCATAAACCTTGCAGTTCATGGGAATATCATATACAGCAGAAACTCAGAATAAACGACAGAATGTTGAAATGGCTGGGGAAGAGACGTGTGGCAGATTAGAGGGACATCACTGACCAGTGCACGTTTCACAGACCAAAGAGTGTTTATCCCTATGATCTACTAAATGAAAAAATCTTCAGATTGCATCTACCAAGACCCTCTTCTTCATGCAAACAAGTACGAGACCTATCCTTTGAGATTTTATCGTTTAAGTAGAGAGAAAGGACACAGGACAAGTAACTCTTAATATCACTACTTAGTTTCTAATATGAGAATGAACCCTGGTAGGCAGAAGGATCTTTGGGATGATATGATAGAACCTGCTCACTTCAAAGGTGAAGAAACTATGTCCCAGAAGTCTGAAGTGCCTCACCCAAGATCACACGGCTCAGTGGCAGCATTGGGCCCTGTGCCCAGGGCCCAAATCTCTAAGCCAAGTCAAGTCCTCTCTCATCACTCTGAATTGCTGCACTGCTCCTTTATTAGCTAGCAGACCAAGCAGCATTCTGTGGGTTTGCGCTTCAGGTTACTATTTTGGGATGCTCTTATTTAGAGATTCTTTATACTGCTTTTAGTAGTGGCAGTAATAACACCACATTTTGCATAGCATCTTGTCTTATCCTGTGTGGGTTCACGTAGTATGTTTCTATTAATCCAAGGATTCACCCACTCAACAAATATCTAAACATAGTCACCAATGAATAATTCTGAAACAAGGTGAATATTGTGGGAGTTAAATTTAACTATAGATGTTAAGGAAGGGCTCCATGATGGAGAGAGCAGGGAGCTGAGTTGCAGGAAATAAAGCAAATTTGGGCCTAAAGGGAGATGAAGGAGATTGGGGCAAAGGGAGTTTCAGGTGCTCATTTACAAAGGCAAGGAACCAAGAGCACGATCGTTAAGGCTGGACACACTTGCATTCAGAATCCACCCAGAAGCTGTAAGCACTTAAGCTGCTCTTGTTGAATAATCCAGTGCCCTCCACATTGCCAGGTCTAATGGTAAATTCTTAGACCTATTTTATTTGTTTATCATTTCAACTTTTATTTTAGATCAGTGGGTACATGCCCAGGTTTGTTACGTGAGTTTATTGCGTGATGCTGAGGTCTGGGGTACAACTGATCCCGTCACCCAGCTGGCGAGCACAGTACCCAATAGGTAGTTTTTCAGCCCTTCCCCAATTCTGCCTCCTTGCTCTTGTATTCTCTGGTGCTTCGACCTGGTTTGACCTGACCTGGAGCAGTGTCTGACTCAGATGATCACTGCCCTCATCGTTAAAGCACTGGCTCTGCTCAACGTTCAGGGTGTGCATCTTCACTACCTTCTGTCTCTGCTGCCTTGCTTCACTTCCTCATTTTCCTTCACTATCCAGGTCAAGTACCTCGGGCCTCCTCTCTCCCTGATCTCTCCACTGTCACTCTTGAGTGGATGACTCATGACTTTCAGTGTCATCTGTGTACTGATAACACTGAGATGTAAAATTCTCCCCCTGTTTTGCTTCACTGAACTATAGACATGAATAGCCAGCTGTCAGCCAATTCATCGTCTCCACTGGGTGGCTCATAGGCATCTCACACTTAATATGTCTAAGGCGAATTACTGATTTCCTTAACTCTCGGCCTGTGCCCCTTGATCATTTCCTGTCTTCTGTCAATTCTTCAGGCCAAAACCCTCGAAGCAATCCTAGACTCCTTCTTTCTCATTTACTCTATATCCAGTCCATGAGATCAGGGCTGATCGCCTCTCGTCCCTCTGTCATCTTTCACGCGTGTCACTTTAATATTCCTGCAACTGATCTCACTATTCACTGCACCCTTGTCGGGCAGATCTTTTCAAAACTCAGAACAGACTCCACTGTTCGTCTGCTCTCACATTCCAGTCACTCCCCGCTCTGAATCAGAGTAAAAGCCAAAGTCTCTACCATGCCTACAAAGCTCAGCAGGATCTGACCATAGGACATCTACCCTCACCTCTTCCACTCTCACCCTCAGACACACTGGCAGTCTTACTGCTTCTTGAACATACCGGAGATACTCCTGTCTCAGGGATTTTGCACTTACCATCCCCCCTGTCTAGAACATTCTCCCTCCAGATCTTCAGTGGCTCCCTCCTTTTCATCAGTCAGGATTCTGTTTACCTGTCACCTCCTGAGCAAGCCTTTATTCACTCCCCCATCTGAAATAGTAACCCCCAGCACTACTGATCCCTTTCCCTATTTAATTTTTCTTTTTATCACTTAACCATTTTCTGACATCATATGATTTATTTGATAAGTTAGTGTCTGTTTTCTGCCACTAGACAGAGTCAGTGTCTGTTTTCATGTCACCATGAAAGCGAGGACCTTGTTTGCAAATAGGAAGATATGGGCTACACCCCCAACCCCTAGAACAGAGCCCAACACATGGTAGACCCTCAATAACATCTGTTGAATACATGAATAAAACAGTCAATCAACTGATACTAGGGAAGTTAGTAGATCTCCCTGAGCCTTGATCCTATCATCAGTAAAATGGGATAGGGATAGTATTCACATGATGGGGTTATTGGTAGGTTCAGGTAAGATAATAAATTTATAGCATATGGCTATTGAGCAATAGCTCAATCAATGGCTATGGTTGCTACTTTATTATTTATTTACCATTATTACTATTCTGCTGGTGTGATTATCATTGTTATTATTTTATTTATCATGTTGAAGAATGCCCACCATCTTCAACAAATATTTATTGAGCTTCTACTATGAGCCAGGCATCTGGTTAAATACTAAGGATATAGCCATGAGTA